AGAAGTGACTTGCACTTTGTTACACAGCTAGTTAGTGTTGGAAGTGGAACCTGAGCCTGGCGGGGGTGGGGAATGGGCTGAATCGGGGATGGGATGGGGGGATGGGACAGTCTGTGTTCCTAACCACTAGGCTATACAGCCCTGCTGCATACACCCCCACATATTCGATTCTGATCTTCAGCTCTGACTGACACCCCTCTCCCAAACAGAGTCCACCCTATTCCCCCGAGGCTCTCTGCACTTCCTCTGGCACAGTGATACCCCCACCCTCACCCCCGGGGTCCACGCCTGGCTCCAGGGTCCCCGGGGCAGGGCTTGTGTCTGATTCATCTCTGGGTCCCCACTGAAGGCAGAGCCTGGGAAAGCGGAGAGGGGAGGACGTTAAAGAGCGTAAGGCCGGGAGAAGAAGCGGTGCAGAGGGGTCCCGGGAGGAGGGCAGGCGGCCCTGGGTTCCTGGGGAGGTGGCTGAGGAAGAGCAAGGGCAGCCGGGCTTCAACTAGGCCAGGCCAGGCCCAGGGTGTTGGGGAGCGCTGGGGAATCCAGAGCCGGGGAGTCACGCCTGCGGGGGGAGGGGGAGCAGCCGGCATCCACACCCCTCCCCCACTCCTTCCCACCCCTCCCCCACCCCTCCCTACCTCCACCTCCTGGAAGGTGGTGGAACGATGCAGGCAGGGGATGACAGGGAGGACAGACAGACAGACACACAAGAGACACCGCCCGCCAGGGAAAGTGCGGGGGTGGGGGAGGGGTGGGAGTCAGACAGACGGACAAAGACGGGGTGTTGAGAAGACTGGTGGATAGATGGGGGGAGGGGGGTCCCAGGAAAAGGATGGACAGACTTAGGGCTTGGGGCGGGAAGGACAGACAGACAGCAGGAGAGAGTGGCCCCGTGCGAGGGGAGGACAGACAGAGGACACGCAGGGAATCGGGGGACAGATGGACGCCGGAGGGACGGCGGGGCAGGCGCGGTCTGCGAGGCCAGGGCCAGGCCGAGGGCGCGCGCGGTGGCGGCCGGAGCGGGGAGGCGGAGGCCGGGCGAGCGGCGGTGTTTGTGGAGCTGTCGGCTGCGGTGGAATTATGAAAAATAGCAGGCATCGGAGCCGGCCTTCAGCTTCGATTAGGGGAGATGGGACATGACAGGTGCGATCAATACGCAGCCGTTCTATAAAGTGTCAAGTAATGAATCAATTTCGACTAAATTTTCCATTTTTCAGAGGCCGTTCTCCGAGAGAAGAATATCCTCTTTTGTAAAGATATTATTATCGATTTCGGCGGCAATTTGACATCAGGGGTAGTTAATTCCACTCAGAATAAAATTGAAAACACTTGAGAGAGAAAAGAGAGAGGCGAAGAGTGAGACAGAGAGGGAGAGAGGGGGAGGGAAGGAGGGGCTGGGAAGAGAGAGAGATGGATGGACAGAGAGACAGAGAGAGGGACGGACAGTGAGGGAGAGAGGAGCCCAGAGAGATGGGCGGGGGGAGACAGAGACACGCAGAGACGTGGAGACACACAGAGAGAAATGTAGACAGCAAAGCCTGGAATTACAGGGAGACAGAGAGAGACTGAGAGACATTCCGAGAGAGACGCAGAGATAGAGAGACGGAAAGGGGCGGGGGGGGGGGGCAGGACCAGGAAATCAAAGCTGAGACAAAGTGAGCGCATCTAAGAGAGAAACCCTGGGCGTGAGAGACTCGCCACAGAGGTGCAGAGAATAGGACAAAGACAAATTCAGAGAAAGAAAGATGGAGAAGGAGGCAGGAGAAACTGACAGACAGACGGAAGAGATACTGAAAGTGAGAGATGAGAGGGAGAAACTTAAGGATCTGGGGAGAGAGAGACTGAGCACAGAGAAGAGGGAAACAGGAAAGGAGAGAGATGGGGTGCGGGCAGACGGGAGGAGAGGGGCGCAGGCTGCCCCGAAGGAAAGGAGGGGGCAGAGGCTGAGGGGCCCCTGGAGCGGAGGGTGCACACCGAGATGGGGGGTCTGGGAAGCGCCTCCTGCCCTGGGTTGTCCCCCAAAGTCACTCTGAATGGAGGGGAGGAGAGTGAGTGTGAATGTGTGTGTGCATGTGTGTCGCAGTCCGAACTGCAGGGCTGGTTGAGGCAAACCAGCCTCAGGATGAGTGTGTGTGTTGTGTGTCTGTGAGCTTCTCTGGGGGGCCCGGGGGTTCCGATCCAGAGTTCCTGGGGTGTGACTGGGGCAGGGGTGTGTGTGTGCCCCTGTGTGTCATGACAATCCTGTTACTCGTGTGTTTCCTGGAATCCGTCTGTATGTGTCCCTCCTTCTGTGCCCACACACGCAGTGGGGCCCTGGCCTTGCAGCCCCATGGGTCTCAGCATGGGGCAGCGGTGACAACATTTCTGGTTAGTGCCTGTCAGTCCCCCAGCTGAAATCTCCATTTATCCTGGAGCAGGTCACAGGCTGCCTGGAGGGGAGGAGAGGGGGCTGGAAGATAGGAGCCCTGGGTTCTGAGAGAGAAGGTGACTGGGGACCCCAACGCCCGGCTCTGAGGGAGGAGGAGGCTGGGGGACTGGGCTCCTGGGTCTGAGGGTGGAGGGGGCTGGTTCGCCCGGACACTCCTGAACGGGATGGTCTGCGGACAGGCAGTCCAGTGGGGCTGGGAAGCTCAGCCAGCCCAGTCAGACTCCCCACCAGAAATGCCTGTACCTGCTGCCCCCTAGTGGACACGGAAGTTGGGCCAGCGGCGGGATATGGAGCCGAGAGGTCAAGGAAGCCCAGGGAGGGAACGCAGAGGGACTGCGCCAGAGGGGCTCAGAGACAGAGACTGAGAGATCCGGACAGAGAAACAGGTGGACACAGGAAGGGAAATGACGCGAGGACAGAGAGGCAGGGAGATAAAGGAGCAAGGGTCAGGCAGACAGGATTGAGGGCTGAGATCCTGGCAGAGAGGACGTGACAGGGGCCGAATTAGAGAGGGCCAGGGAAAGATGGGGGACAGAGGGGGATGTGCCCATAGGCAGTGGGAACAGAGCGAGAGAGAAAGGAAGACTGCTGTTGGACAGAGGGAGGCTGGGCTGGTGGAAAGAGGCAGGACAGAGAGCACCAAGAGACAGACAGGAGCCATGTGGACAGAAGGACAGTGTGACAGACGGGTGGGAGGTAGACCTAAGGAAGGGAGGAGGCGGGAGATGCAAAGAAGAAGAAAAAACCAGGGAGCAGGCAGAGAGATAGCAGATGGACAGAGAGAGAGAAAGGAAATACAGGCAGACAGAGAAAAGGAGAGAAGGGCAGACACTCAGAGACAGATGGACAGACAGAAACAAGCAGACACACCCAGAAAGACAAAAAAGAGGTGGACAGAGAAAGACACGTGGACAGAACGGCTATGGAGGAGCCAGGGCCCCCGAAGCCAAGTGGACACGCCTGGATGGAGCAGAAAGTGGTCCATGGGGGCGAGGGTGGACCCAGGACTGGGTGACACTGTGAGCTGGCTGGAGGTCCGGACTAAGGGGCTACCCGAGGCACAGCTTTGGAGTGGAGCCGCGGACGGGGCTCCCCTGGTCGGGGTCTCTGCCCACCACCCCCTCCTAATCCCCCCACCCCCCACCCGGCGGGCTGCCCGGCGGAGGCGACAGATTGAGCGATGAGACGCATTACGCACTTAATCCGCCTGATTGAATGTTTTGCTTTCGCCCAAATTGAAACATTAAACAACACGGGACGAGAAGAGGCGGCCGCAAATCACTCATGAAAGATTCATCTTCTCCCCGGCAGCCGCCACCGCCCGCCCGCCCGCCCGCCCGCCTCCACCGCCGCCCGCCCCAGTCGGGAAACCATGGGTGGGGGGCGGGGGCGGGGGCCCGGGCAGCGCCCCTGCCCGCTGTGTGGCCACCCCCCTGCCTTCCCGGCCCAGGGAAGTTCTTCCCACTGTCTAGCCTCCATCCCACAGGTGGTCACAGAGACTGAGACCCCCATCCCTGCCTGGATAAACTTAGACAGCGTGATCTCGGCCCCGCCCCTCTGGAGGAGACGCCCATTTTTCTTGCCCTGGTGGGAGTCTACTGCTCTAGCTCCCTTCTTGACCTAGCCTAGGACCATGGGGTGTGGAGGGGGCCGCTCAGTTGGTTTGGAGCAGGGAGTGAGATCTGAGAGCCTTGTCCCTGTGAAGGGCCTTTCTGGCTTCTAGATGCATTCGTGGGGTTGGCACCTGGTGGGGGTGAGTCCGAGGACAGTGGTGTTCTGTCAGAATGAGTGAAGACGGGGGACAGGGAATGCGGGTGTATTTAGTCACACTGGAGTTGAGTCTGTCAGTCTGTCGGCCTCGCAGGGATAACCTCCTACTTTCTGTCCCTCTGTCTCACTCTGCCTCTCTTGTGGTGACTTGCTGGGTGACTGTGCCTGTCTCTGGGTGTCACTACCCCCATGCCCATGGGATCCCGTGTGTGTAGTTGTAACCCCGTGGGCCTGCTCACATCTGTCTGCCTGCCTGTGGGTATCTGAGTATAGCTGTCTCTCCCTCTGCACCCTGTATGTAGTATTTTTGTGTGTCTGTCTGTGTGACTTTCAGGGTGTGACTATCTGTGACTTCCTGCGTGTTCATCGGTGGGTGCTTGTGCCCCTGTCTGTCTGTCTGTCTGCCTGGGTTGGTGTCTCCAGTTGCTTGCTCTGGGTCTGCATTTAACTGTTTCAGGTCGGCGTCTGTTTTGGGCACCCCTCTATCTCTGAGACTGTGTGTCTCTCAAGCTCTCTCTTCTCTGGGTGGGCCTTTCTCTGTCTGGCTGAGAGGGCACCTGGGGCCCAGGCACTCACCAGAACAAGCGGGGCCAGGGTGGGGAGAAGCGGAGGAGAGAGGAGGCAAGAAAGAGAAAGACAGGACAGCGGTGACGGTGACGCCTGAGAGCAGGGGAGCAGGGAGCAAGCGCGAGGGAGCTGGGAGGGGGGGGGCCGTAGTGGGCGCCACGGCCGGAGCGGGTGATCAATATTCGATTTAGGTTTTAATTCCGGGGCTTTCGGAGCCTGTCAGCCCTGATGTATGAGCTCACACAGGGGCCGCCCAGCCAGCCACCCCACAGATGCCCATGGCCTGGTGGCCTGTCCTGGCCCCAGCTCCCTTGCCCGGGCTGGCTGCCGGCTGTGGATGAGGGGAAGGGGAGAGTGGGGCTGGGAAGGAGGAGGCCCTGTCAGGGGGGCAGAGGGAGGCGGTTACGCATGCACCTGTGCACAAGTTCGCCTAAGTTCACAGCTGAGTTCACGCCTGGTCACTCACTTATCCAGCGGAGCAGCAGGCCTGCTCCTGCCTGCCTGTGCCGGATGGACACAGGAAGGGGACCCTGGCTCTGTCCCTAGGGACCCCCAGAGGTCCTCAAACACTGTCTCAGGGACAACACAGCCCTCCTGTCAGCACGGGTCACACACAGCTAGACACACATGCTGCGGGCTCATGAATCCCTGTGTGCATGTGAGCCCTGACATGTGTGCACACATAGTCCCCAACAATCAGGTGTCCGCACACTTGCTCCTGGACTCAAGTGCACACATGTAACCTCTGACACACACACACATGCCCACACACAACCCAGCACACACATGTGTCCTCACACATAACCCCAAGACACACACGGACGTTCCCCATTGATGGGAGGTGGGAGCAACCTGGGGAGACAGCCTTCTGGCAAGAGATCATAAAGAGACAGAGAGAGACCCAGAAACTCAGAGACAAGAGACTGACATGGCCACAGAGATGGAAGAGACCAGGCAGGTACAAGGATCGGAGAAAAACTCAAGAGATGCAAAGAGAAAAGTAGGGGAGGCTGTGGGGAGGGGGGGGCAGTGGACAGGAATGGGGGGGCAGGGGGCTCTCCCTTCTTCTCCAGATGCCCCCCCCCCCAAACGCTGTCTCTCTCTCAGGAAGATGGATCCACCGCCCTCCCTGATGACAATGCTGTCTGCGCAAACTTTAATTAACACTTTGAGTTAATTAGTTCGAGATCATTTAGGAGTAAAATGTTTTTATTAGGGAGGCTGCGAGCCTGTTGATGGATGGGGCGCGATTCGCTCTTCCGCCCGCCGGGGACAGCCGGTAAACAGAAATCAATCAGAGGCCTCCCAACCCAGCCCCCACCCCCCACCCCGGGCCAAGCTCCCGGCCCATCCCAGGCCCCTGGGGCTCCCGGGTCCCCGAGTCCACCTCTCTCCCAGGTCCAGGCTTCCGGACCCTCAGCCTTGGCAGGACCCCCGCCCCGACTCCTTCCCGGACTCTTGGGCCGAGAACTACGGACCGATTCGCGGTGGCGGGGGCGGGGGGCGGGGGTGGGGGTGCTCCACGTGCTGCCGATCCGACCCTTCCCTCAACTCCCTCCCACGGTCCCTGACTCCGCGTCCCCGGAACTTTTTCTTCGTCGTGTCGGCATCTCTGTCTGGCTGTCTCGTCGGGTCTCTGCGAGGCCGCCCCGCTGACGGCTTCATCAGGTGTCCGGGTGGCGGGGGCCGGGGCCGGGGGAGGGGGAGGCCGGGCCTGGCGAGGGGGAGGCCCGGGGCGGAGGGGGCGGGGGTTCCGGGGCCGATAAATCTTCATCAGGCGGCGGCGGGGGGGCCATTAGGCGCTAATGGGAAGATGGAGGGGCCTGTCGGCCGCGCGGGCCGGGCCTCATTTGTCCTGCTTCCCGCTCCATTGGCCGCCGCCCCCGCCCCGCCCCTCCCCCGCCGCCGCCGCCGCCGCCGCCGCCCCTCCCCCGCCGCGCGCCCCATTTCCGCTTCCAACCTTTGGAAGGGGTGGGTGGGGAGAGGGGGAGCAGAAAATCCGGGGGGAGGGTGGGGGGTTGAAGAATGAGGGAGTTGGGTGGCCGGGGAAGAGTTAGAAAAGGAGGAGGGGGCGTCGGAGGCGGAGGGGAAGGGGGTTAGGCCGCAGAGGCAGAGTTTAGAAAGTGGGCGACACGGATAGAAAGCAGGCGGAGGACGCGGGGAGAAGGTGCCCAGGGGGTCAGGACGTGGAGAAAGTAAACAGAACTCCCTGGAGGGAGGGAGAACTCGGGAGGGGCACAGGGGACCCGAGAGGGGACCTGGATCCCGGGAGGGCGGGGACGGGAACCCAGAGGGGCGCGGGGTTGGAATTAGGGAAGGGGTCGGATCACCGGCTCCAGCCTCCAGGGCGAGTGTCTCCGGGAAGGCGCCCGGGCGGCGTCCCCCGAGGCAGAGGCGCGGCCCCCGCCCGCCGCCGCCCGCTCCCGGACTCGCGCCCCCCGCGCGTCCACTCTGATTTCTCGGCCCATTTTTCTTCCTCTCCTGTCACTCCGGCGCTCGCCCTCCCGCCGCCGGCTGCCCCGCCGCGCTCCGCTTCCCGCGGGAACCCCCGCCGCTGCCAGCCCCCGGGGCCGCAGCACGGCTCTGCGCCGCAGCGCCCCCACGCCCGCCCTCCCGGGCCGCCTCTGTCCCCTCCAGACCCACGTATGCCAGGAGTGGGACCCCCAAATCAGTCATCCCAGAAATGGATCAGCCCGCAAGATCTACAGGAGGGGCCCAGCCTTGGGGGCAGCACTGAAGCTGGGGTTCCCCAGACCTGGGGATGGGTGGGATCTTTAGCACTTCCGGGCCCCAGTCTCCAATTCCCCCAAAGGAGGCTGCAAACCCACAAACCAGGCGCGTGAGTCCCCACCATCTCTCAGAAATCCCTGAGAGATGAAATCCCAAGATGAGAGAGAAATCCCAGGCAGACCGTAGACCCCTATGATCAGACCCATACCTTGACCTGAGTCACCCCAAACCATGTAAAGTTACTCAGACTCAGACACCCACTCTACCTACAGCCCAGCCCCAGACACCCCTAGACGAGGGTTCTGGACCTCAGCCCCATTCATTCCAAACTGCCATCCCAAGACACTGAGAGGATAAGGGAGCTGGGCCTCAGATCAGTCACCCCCAAATAAGTCAATAACTACACAAGTCACCCCTAAAGTAGACACTTATTCCCTCAGACTCAGTCACCCCAGAGTTAGGCATCAGAGGCCCTAAAGTTGGCACGCCTAAACTAGACTTTCCTCACTGAACCCTAAGCAAACATCAGGACCTTGAGATAAGTCACCCAGGAGCTAGACAAACAGGCCCCCCAGATGCTGTCACCCCACTCAGGGCATGAGTGCTGTTGTCAACACAGACTAGGAAATGGGGCTGAGACTCAGTCACCCCAGGAATGAGCAACTCCAGTCCTGACAACTGGGACCCCCCCAGACTCAATCAGTCCAAACTTGGGATCTGGGCCCCACCCTGCTTAAGATTCCCCCAAACGAGACGGTTGGCTGGCTCCTCAGACTTAGTGTCCACTGAGACAAGGTCAGGAATCTCAGAGCAAGTCACCTTGACGTTAGTCATCTAGTTGCCCCAACAGACTGAGAAACCACTCTCCCCACAGCCCAGCCTTGCATCTGGACCCAATCACTGGTAACTCTAACCGAGGCATTTGAATAACCAGCTTGACTAACTCCCCAACTTGCCCTCTGGAACTCCATCATCAATTGTCCTTAAAATGCACATCTGAGCTCCCTCCCCCATTACCCCCCTAAGACTTGGGAACTTAATAAGTTAACCCACAAACTAGGCAGCTAGCCTCCCAACCTCAGGCATCCCCAAAGACAGGACTCTGACACTGAAGCTTTGTGATCCCCAAATTGGCTCCCCTGGTTGCTCAGCTGGTAAAGAATCCGCCTGCAGTTCAGGAGACGCAGGTTCGATTCCTGGGTCGGGAAGATCCCCCTGGAGAAGGGGATAGACTACCCACTCCCAATATTCTTGGGCTTCCCTGGTGGCTCAACTGGTAAAAAAAATCCATTCTCAATGCGTTAGACCTGGGTTTGATCCCTGGGTTGGGATGATCCCTTGAAGAAGGTAACGGCTACCCACTCCAGTATTCTGGCCTGGAGAAATGGCCTGGACTATACAGTCCATGGGGTTGCAAAGAGTCAGACACGACTGAGCAACTACAAACTACAGTCCCCAAACTATACCTCTGGCCCCCAACCTTCAGTTGTCCTACACTAACTATTAGTATCTCACAGGCTGTTACCCTAAAAGTAGGCACATCAAGCCAGGAGCCCCCAAATCAGGCATGTGTAGCTGACCCTCAAGGTCAGTCATCCTGAAATAAATTCTGGGAACCTCATAATCAGAGAGACTCAAAACTCAGAATGTAAGGTGACTTCCTCAAACACCCCTGTGGTGGGTTGCGGTGGTCCCCCAAAAGATGCCCATGTCCTAACCTGCTAATGTGACATTATTGGATAGAGTCTTTGAAGATGTCATTAAGCTGGGGCTTCCCCGGCGGCTCCATGGTAAAGAATCTACCTGCCAACGCAGGAGACACAGGTTTGATCCCTGGTCCAGGAAGATTCCATTTGCATGGGGCAGCTAAGACCATGCACCACAACTGTTGAGCCTGCACTCCAGAGTTGGGGATCAGCACCTACTGAAACCCCTACGCCCTAGAACCCATGATCCGCAACAAGAGAAGCCACTGCAGTGAGAAGCCTCCACGCCGCAATTAGAGAGTAGCCCCTGCTCACTGCAAACTAGAGAAAAGCCCATGGAGCGATGAAGACCCAGCACAGCAAAAAATAAATAAATAAATAAATAATAAATACATTTTAAGAAATATTTAAGTTAAAAAAAAAAAAAGATACCATTCAGTGATGGATCTCCAGATGTAGACCATCCTGCATTAGCTGGGGAGAGGTCCTAAATCCAGTGATGATGATGATGTCCTTATAAGAGACGGAAGAGAAGCAAGCCACAGAGGCAGAGAAGGCCTTGTGAGGACCGAGGCAGGAAGAGACCAGGAAGCATCCTCCCCTGGAAGCTTTGCAGGGATCGCAGCCCTGTTGACATCTTCATTTGGGGCTTCTGGCCTCCCGAGCTGGGAGAGAATAAATTTCTCCTGTTTTAAGCCACTTGGTTTGTTACTGGCCACAGGAGACTAATTCAAGCCCTCCCCAAGCAGTCTCTGTATCCCTAAGCTCAGTGATCCTCCCAGACTAGAAATGTGAACCCCCACAGTCAGATGCCTCAAACTAGCCTCAACTCCCCAGCTCAAACTTCTGGATCTCAATCCAATTACCCACCATCATGACGTCGGGGATCCAGTCA